ATACAATGTATTGTTGGCTATTGCTACAAATATACCCCAGCGACTTAAGACTGCTTTTGTGCTCCAGGGTCATGTTAATTCATATTTATTTATATATACGACACATTAATACATCTGAATATTAATTAAAATATTAATAAACTGATATTAATTAAAATAACGAATTAATAGACAAATGCATACAAAGTAATGTTAATTCAATTTTATCTATGTCAGAGGAATAATGCAGACATTCAAAAACCCAAGCATCGTGAAAGTCATTCGGTTCTTGTAACATCTTTTTATTAAATGGAAACAGTTCTGCCACAAGTCTCCTGTCGACGCGTTTGCTTTGTTCTTTCTGAGCTGTCGAGTACTCAATGTTCACTATTCCATTTTTTGGTTGCGTCTGTGAGTCCGTATGGAGAGAAGCTCTCCTCTCGAGTGTCCTCCACTTACTCACCCCACAATCACAGTGATAAGGTCACACAGAAACAAGTTGTGAGGAGATTTAGACTTTGGACTTCTTCCGAGGATTCATTCGTTTGTTGTTTTCTTTCACTTCAGTGCAAATGAGGCCTCGTGCACAGCTGCGGGGCTGCTATGGTTACCCGGATAATAGGGGCGCGTCGTCATATCACAGACGTACAATTACACGCATGTGTGATATGATTGTTTAAGATTTTGCTAGAATTCATTACAGAAAGCTTGAGTCAATTAAAGCAGCATGTGTTTTTCATCACAGCAGCGTCGTCCGCTTTCTCCGCAGCTGAGGCTGTCACGATTCATGAGCGTGTTTTGAAATTAGTATCCGTCGCACCGCGAGCCGTAACGGTGATTGGCGTTAAAAGCAGCTCCGCGCTGCACTTTTCTTCTTCTGCTTCTATTTTAAGCCAAGGTTTTCTGTAATTCCTTTGACAATGGACCGAATGAGTCTGTTTCCCAACTCAGCGGCCCCAAAAGTTGTTTACTTGACAATCTCGCACCACTAAAGAGACCTTTACGCAAAACTGTCGTAAAAGTCGTAATTACTGTAATCTGAGTATTTCTCTAATTAGTTTTATTTTGTCATGCCACTCCAGAACTATAACGCATTAAAGTGAATGTAGAGCCAAACCTCTGCTTAAAAGCATTAGCCGTGGACAGAATGATTATATTTATTTAAACATAATTATATTATATTTAAATTATAATTGCTATATGCCTATATAATTTAATTAATATTTATTTATACAAGTAATACATGAATACATATACAAATATCTAAATAAATGTGAATTCAAATATGTAATACAGTAATAATATTAATAGAAAAAAAATAAAAATGTGTGTATATAGTTTGGGATCAGAACGATTTTTTATGTTTTTACAGGAGTTTCTTCTGTTCATCAAGGCTGCATTTATTTGATCAAAAATACAGGAAAAAATGTAATATTGTGAAATATTATTATGATGTAAAATAACGTTTTTCTATTTTAATATACATTAAAATCTAATGTATTCCTGTGATCAAAGCTGAATTTTCAGCATCATTACTCCAGTCTTCAGTGTCACATAATCCTTCAGAAATCATAATAATATGCTGATTTATTATCAGTGTTGAAACTGTTGTGCTGCTTCATATTGTTTTGGAACCTGTGCTACTTTTTTTCAGGATTCTTTGATGAATAAAACGTTAAAAAGAAGACAATGTATTTAAAATAGAAATCTTTTCTAACAATATACACTACAGTTCAAAAGTTCGGGGTCAGTACATTTTTATTCTTTTTTTTTTGAAAGAAATTAAAACTTTTATTCAGCAATCTGTTAAATTGTTAATAAGTGATAGCAAATTTTTATATTGTTAGAAAATATTTATATTTTGAATAAATGCTGTTCTTTTTTATTCATCAAAGAATCCTGACAAAAAAAGTATCGCAGTTCACATAGAAAAATATTTGTTTTTACTTGAATATCTCGCACCACTAAAGACTTACAGCAACCTGCCTGTTAAAGACTAGTGGGTCTTTTGTAAAAACACTAATTACTGTAATTTGAGCATTTGGCTAATTACAGTTTTATTTTATGCCACTTTAGAACTGTAACACAAAGTGAATGCACAGTCAAACCTCTGCTTAAATGCATTAGTCAAGAGATAAATGATCCATGCAATGCTAACCGTATTGAAACTCATTTAGAAACTCAAGAGTCCTTCTCGCTGCCATCATTTCCAGCCCATTTAGCATTGCATGCATATCGTAGTTCTTTTTCACATATTGGCTTGAAGAAGAACTAAGTAATGCGTATTAGTGATTCTTCACGAAGCGCGTGTTGAATTTGTAGTTTTAGCTGTCTGATTGGAGCCGTCAGCTTGTATAGATTTCCCGACGCCGTGCATGTCTCAGGCTCAGATGCATCACGCTGTTCTTTCAGGGTGGAGATAAATGTTGTGTTATCTTCGCAGTTTGAGCCGGCTGACTCATTGTTCGCACTCTGTCCACTGCGGCTCAAGAGTAATTAACATACAATGCATAATAACCACCACCGCCGCGCAGAGCAGCCGGGGTGCGAGCACGTCACGTGTGGAATAATAAAACCAGACTCCTTCCCAAACACTCATTTGGACACCATCGGGTCCCTAGAGACGCAGTCTAAATAATAAAAAACAGTCAGAGGAATTTTAACAAGCCTTCTACTCTCCTGGTAAAAATGACAGTGACATTATTTATGGCACAGTTGCTTTATATTGCATCAGGGAAATATGAAAATATTTGATAAAAGTTCTAACTCAGTCTTCTTGTTGCCTGATTGCTAAGGCATGGTGTTAGCAACACAAAAATTGGGTTTCAATTCCAATTCTCAAATGTACACTTTGAATGCTCACAGGCAATTGTTCACAGGACTATGAAGGAGTGGAAATTGTTTATTTTCATGGATGACTTTGCTTTTATTAAGGTATTTTTTCACTTAACCTGAAACGCGCACGTATTTTAACGTCAGACCCTTCAGTTTAATCAAGTAAATTCGTAATATGAATCATTATTTTTTTTATTATATTTATATAATATTTAATCAAATAGACGTTGGCTTCACATTCATCCAACACTCGCTTCAAAAACAATGAGAACTAATCTCACAGATACTTGATATCCACACTGGCATTTTTTATGTGGTGTCCATATGACAAGATAAATAAATAATGAAATATCAGATCATTTACTAATAAAGAAGAGGGTACCAAAAATAAAATATCGCAAAAATATTGTTCCGCACTGTAATGTAGCTCAACAAAGGCTTAAAGGGTTAGTTCACCCAAAAATGAAAATTAGCCTACCCCATGATTTACTCGCCCTCAAAACATCCTAGGTATATATGACTTTCTTCTTTCAGACAAATACAATCAGAGTTATATAAAAAAAACGTCCTGGCTATTCCAAGCTTTATAATGGCAGTGAATGGGTGTTGAGATTTTGAAGACCAAAAAATGCATCCGTCATAGGCCTCTTGAAGCAAATTGATGCATTTGTGTAAGAATAATATCCATATGTAAAACGTTATCAACCGTAACCTCTAGCTTCCGCTAACTGTCATACGCACGTTCACGAGAGATGGCGTAGGATGTAGGTGCAGCGTAAACTCTGGTGAGAATATGCTAGTCTCGCAAGAACCAAGTCTTGTTTACAGCAAAGGAAAACCAGTCTCCTCTTGGCTTATATTGAAATCCTCTGACGTTTTTCTTTACAAATCCTCGTTTTGTACTTCTAATTCCTGACCAGAATTCTCTGCCATGAATGTGCGTGCAACAGTTAGCGGAAGCTGGAGATTATGGTTTATAAAGTTTTACGTATGGATATTTTTCTTAAATGATTCACTTCAGAAGGCCTTTATTATCCCCCCTGAGCCACGTGGAGTAATTTTATGATGGATGGATGCAGTTTTTGGGCTTCAAAATCTCTGCCCCCATTCACTGCCATTATAAAGCTTGGACATTTTTAATACATCTCTGATTGTATTCGTCTGAACGAATAAAGTCATATACACCTAGGATGGCTTGAGGTGAGTAAATCATTCATACTACTTTTCCCCCTTGATCTGGGTTTTTGTCTGAAATTTTGAACATTCATCTGCGACCGCAAATTTCAGACCGTTATTGACAGCACAGCCTAACACTGTTCTAATTAAATGTAGTAATTTAAGACTGAACGGATGTTTTTGACATTATTATAGATTTTTCTTTTTCTTCCAGCAGGAAGATCTTCATTTCAGCTTTCCTTTTCACCAGTCTTATCACTTGTCTTTTATGTTTTCCCTTTCAGGAGGAAACATCCAAAGCTGGAGGCAAGAATAAAAGACCTAAGGGCAAGAAGGCAAAATAAAAAAACCTTCCTGGAACAGATGAGACCTGGAATGAAGACAGACTTGCGACTACGAATGCTGAAGGATTCTGACAAATAAAATAACCTGAAAATGCTGTATTAGTGATTTGTAAAATCATTCAGTGTTATAGTCGGGGTTAAACAACTTGAAAGTCATACCAAAAATGGTTTTGTATGCAGTTGAGTTTAATGGTCTGTTGCTACACATTATGTCACACTAAGTGCTTTGTCTTATGAATAAAGAATTTTATGAATTACAAATTGATTTGCAAATGAGGGTTTGAGGCTTGCCTGAAGTCACAAGGACAAACGAGTGCGAAACAGGTAATAAATACCCCTGACATTCATCAGCGACCTTTGATCCTTTTTCCGGTTTAATGATGCTCTAATAATGTAATTTGATAAAGCCTCACAAAAGCAATTTGAGCTTTTCGAGGAGTGTCATACCAAAACATCCGTTTAAGGAGACTTTTTACGGCAAATATCAGACGCTGAAAGTGCATGAGATTGTCATTCCCATGTCCGATTGTCAAATGTCTATTATTTAGTCCCGTGGAGAGTCGCTCTCCAATATTGCGTTTTCGCTCATACTTAACCTTTTGAATATTGCATGCTATTTTTACCATTCAAACTTTGCAGGGCCAAAGTCCACTGCCAATGAGTCATCCAGAAAAGGTACTCGAGTGCTTTTTGACATCTCCGCTCTTTCTCTAAGGCGCACACACATATCGTTGCTGTCTTCCTTCTTAAATACCTTTGGGTCTTTGACATTCTGGCCTCTTTCCTGTCTGCAGCGCTAGTCGTAGTCTTCTCACTTTCATCCTCCCTGCATGCATCTATTCCCTTTTCTCTGGACTATTCTTTTATGCCTGCCTCTCTCCCTGTGTTCCCACTCTATTTCCTTTCAATGAATATTAACAGATCTTTTGACTGTCAGCACCTATCCTTTCAGATTCAATTGCTTGCTTCGACTCAAGGGGCATTGCTAAATGCTTTGGTGGTCTTTTGCTTGTGACATGTTTTCTGTGTATACAGGTGCATCTCAATAAATTAGAATGTTGTGGAAAAGTTAATTTATTTCAGTAATTCAACTCAAGCCGAATTGAGGCAGTAATTAAAGCAAAAGGAGCCCCTACCAAGTATTGAGTACATGTACAGTAAATGAACATACTTTCCAGAAGGCCAACAATTCACTAAGTCTCATCTCATCTCAGCTGTACCCAACAGATCCCTTTTATTTTGGGCCAGAGTATCACATTAGTGTTGATGGTGAGGAATTGTGCTATATATGGATAGAAATACCCTTTTTAATACATTTTATAAAGTAACGAAAATAGATCTGTGACCATGCTAATGGCCAATTAAAAGTACAAACAGTTCTTGGAGAAAAAAAAATCTGTTTTGGTATGCAAATAACTGCGCCTTCGAATTCTGCGGAAGAATCAAGCTAATTTTTGGTTCAAATAATTGTAATGCTGTGTTTCGGCAGCCTAAACCATATCTCCAACAAGCTAACCATTGATTTGACTGGACAAACTTTGCTCAGGGCCTGTTGGGCACCTCATCTTTGCCCTGAGTAATGGACGTCTTTTATTTGGTCTACAGAATCATGGCAGCAAATGTGAAAACTGTTTCCCCAAAGGACGACTCTCTAATATAGTTTCTGGCGAGGAATCAAGCTTCTCTGCAACGAACTTTGCAGTACATCAGTAAATACTTTTTTTAAGTTGACCAAAGCAACATGCTAACATGTCTATTTGACCCCCCATTAGTCTGAAAAAAATCTGAACTGTAACCAACAGATCTCTCTTATTTTGGGCGACAGTATCACACTGGTGTAGATGACATCTGGTGAGGAATTGTGCTATATATATATAGATAGAAATATCTCCTACTCAAGACAATACCATGCTCTTTTTAAAGTGACAAATAGATCTGTGATATGCTAATTGGAAATTAGATGTCCAAACAGTTCTTGTAGAAAAGATTTGTTATGATATGCAAGGATAACTGCGCCTTCGATTTCTGCATAACAATCAAGCTAATCTTTGGTTCAAATAATTGTTATGCTGTGTTTCGGCAGCCTAAACCATAACTCCAGCAAGCTAACCATTGATTTTGACTGGACAAAACTCGCTCAGGGCCAGTCTGGCAGCTCATCTTTGCCCTGAGTAATGGACGTCTTTATTTGGTCTACACAGAATCACGCCAGCAAATTTGAAAACTGTTTTCCCAAAGGATGACTCTCGGCTAATATATAGTTTCTCACGAGGAATCAAGCTTCTTTGCAAATAACTGTGCAGTAAGGAAAACGCAATGCTGTGCGTTGATCCTGTAAACTGATTAAACCAACATGCTAATTGTTTATTTGACCACCCAACGGTCTAAACAAATCTCATCTGAACTATAACCAGCAGATCTCTTTTACTTTGGGCCACAGAATCATGTTAGTGTAAATGACATCTGGTGAGGAATTGCGCTATATTTGGATGGAAATAACTCCACAATAGATCAGACAATGCCATGCCGTGCATTGGCACTTTTAAAATTGTCGAAGCCAAATATGTGACATGAAAATTGTCAATTTGATGGCTAAAAAGTTTGTTTGTTTTAGAGTTTTATTGTGACATGCGAAGATTCATTTCTGCCAAAGAATTGTTTTTTTCTTTGGTACAGATAGTTGGACTGTACACTTGAACATGCAGTGCTGTGTTTTGCCAGCCTAAAATGTATCTCCAACATGCTAATTATTGATTTGACTGGGCAAAACTTGCTCAAGGATTGTTTGGCTTCTTATCAATGCTCCAACTTGCCAATGTCTCCACAATTCTTTCTACCACAGCAAGCAGAGTTTACCCAAAGGACAACTCTATCACATACTACTAATGCCATGTCAGAAAAAATTCAAGCTAACCTTAACTACAAATGTCTTTACAGTACGTTAGAAAATACCATGCTTTGTTTAGGTACATTTTAAGTAGCCTAAGCCAGATCTCCGACATGCTAATCGTCCATTTGATGCAACCCACTGTGAGAGTAAATGCAATATTGAACTTCACAACTGGACTTGACCAGATAATATCCCTCCAAACATAGACACCAAAAGAGAACAATTAGCATTGCATGAAAGTGGCTAATTTGCATGGTGGATAAGAAACCCTTCCCTTTTGTATTCTGGCTGACAACAGTATCAATTAATAATATTAATCGTGGGAGAAATCAAATCAGCACATTAGCTGTCCTCCGTTGAGGCCTTGAGGAGCAAGAAGACAGAGCAGAATGATAATTCATGTTGTTTTATCGTCTCAAGTGGCATTGGGAGATGGCCGTTGTTGTTTGTTTAAATAAGGGTCAGGCGTCTTCATCTCTGGAGATCAAACATCAGAAGGGTGCAGCCGAAAGCTTGTTTCATAAGAGTCTCTCCTACTTCTTTAGAAGGTGATAGAGCAGATCCCTGTTAAAATGAGCTGTAGCTCTCGCTCTGGGCCTTTGGAATACGCGGAATTCTGCTTCCACTGCAAGAATAATACAACAAAGAACTTGATTGCACTTCGTCTCTTTCCATGTTATCATCTTCTGGCGCCTGCCTCTATGTTTTTAGTCCAAATGCTTTAATGTTTGAAATCCCTGCTCATTAGCAACATTAAATGTGGCAACCTGAAACAAGACTATGAAATATTTAACCCTTTCAATACCACAACTCGCTAGAGAAAAAGGTGAAATGCAAGCTTTTATTCTTTAGAATAATATGCATCAATCAAATAGCATCCGTTTTGATCTCATGTTGACTTTTAAGTCTTTAAACTTGTTGGACACTTGTGTCAGGTTTGGCAGAGAGATCTTCCGGGAATGAGATGTTTCACCGTGCTTTTATAGCATTTGTTTCACGTTTTAACAACACACTTAAGCTAATCGAATCGCTCCCCAGCCTCTCAAGTGACCCTCTGTGATTGGTATCACTGTGGGGCGCCTAGACAAGAAATCCTGGGTTAAGAGCCCAGGGGTTAATTAGCACTTCATAATTAAAGTAGAATGACACATTTAAAAGGGTTTTAGACAGAATTTAACTGCACAACTGCTGTAACTAATGGAAGTTAAAGGAGCTGCGCCATGCAATGCCACTAAATTGGATTTTACAGATGCACCATTATTTCAGTATCAATGTCATGCACTTGTGTGTGAAATGCAGGGGCAAAGTGTCTGCTATCGTCTTGCTCGGGTGCACAGCTGAGGAAGAGCACGCAGGGCTAAAGTCGGTCTTTTTTGTCAGTAGGGAAATGACTCACGCGGGAAAAGAAGACCACATCTCTGACAGCGAGTGTAATTAAGATTTTTTAAACCTAGAACACAGCATTTAGGAAGAGGAGGCGTACTGTACATGGTGTGCAATTTAAAACTTAAAAGTGCAATTAGGATGTTTATTTGTCATGCCTTTAACGTCATGTACTCGGCTGATTGAGGCATTAACATTTTCTTTTTTTCCCTAAATGCTTGAATTTAGTCTCTTTTTTTCATCATCCCTCATAAAAGGCGACATAGTATGTAATGTAGTTGAGGCACAGCCACTGGGTAGGGAAGGAATGCTTTGAAGAAGAAAACCTGCCTGAGCTTTGCCTTGAGTGGATGGCAGTAGCTGCTGTCCATGGTTCTGAAACCACTGAACAGTACCAGAGCACTAATACACTAACAGGATTCCTGTTGGAATTTCTGTCATCATTCAAAGCCAGTCCTAAAGAATGGGAAGGGGAATTGGTTCATAGGATTTTAGCATAACACAAAAACTAGATCTTTTAAAACACAGGAGTGCCTTACTTGAATCTGCAGAACACAAAAGAAGATATTTTGAAGACTGATGGGGTTCAAATGAGATTGGACCCCATTGGCAAAAACACAGACATTTCTCAAAATATCTTATTTGTTATGCAGAAGAAAGAGGAATAGATTTAAATGACATGAGTAAATGATTTGAATTTTGGGTGAACTTGAAAAATACAAAATTATTGCCATTGTAAACACATTCATAATCAGTATCTTTGTTATTTTCTCAAAAAATGTCTAAACATTCATAAAACTCAATTTCAAAAAATTGTCCCCTATGACTGGTTTTGTGGTTCAGGGTCAGTCACAAGATAGACTATCTGAAAACAACTTATACTGTCTTTGCTTTTTAAGTAAATTTATGTTGATTCTCAATGCATGGGTCATTCATATGTTTATAACAACTGTTCAAGCAGAGCAATATACATAATCACACTGTGTGATTGTATAAAAATGATATTGTCTGCACTTGGACAAATGCAGGTTCATTGCACTGTATGCAATTCTGGATATCATACTTCAACCAGATC